TTACGAATTTCAAAGAGCTCTCTTCTTTATTCTCTATCTCTTCCTTCTCTCTCCCTCTATACGTATTATTATAGTAAATAAATATATAGTATATATAGTAGTAGAGACACTCTGCCAGAGTACGTGCTCAAACAAAAGGGGTTTTTTTGCTGTCCAATGTTTCAGTGGATCGCAGTGCATCTTTGTGTGGGCCTACTACTTTCTGTTTATCTACTGATGCTATTTTACTGCAGTGCACCCTGGCATATACTCCCTGGAGAGTGTGTAATATATATAAAAATCTATTGGAAGTTACAGCACACTGTGTACTGACTGTGTTAAACCATGCATGAAACAGGCACACCTAAGAATAGTCCCAGAAGGTTTTCCCTGCACTTTTATTCAGCAAGGTTATAGCATAAAACAAATAAACAAATGCTCATCTGGGTTACGAACTAAACTCATGCCAGTTCCTGACTAATGGCTTCCCCAAAATAAACAGGCAGCTCTTGTACAGTTTTAGTGTTCTGTCAGCACTCAGCCTTTTCATTTAGCAGTAGGAGTTCACAGCAAAGGCAGTGAGAAAGAGAGAGGGAGCCATGAGCATCAGCTGAAGTTCATTTGTGGACCTAGGAACTGACACTTTTCTCACTAAAGCTCTACAAAGCCTCTGGACTTGAGGACCTAGAGGACTTAATAAGATTCTGAGAAAAAGTTTGTTTTTTCCATGTCACACAAAACTCTCAAGCCCCTCACCATGTGTATTTGAGAAATCTAGTTGACACATATACACATTCCTGCCACCCACTGCCTCACATACACTCCACCTTTACTCAGACCTGTAGGAAGTAGCACATTTTATCAACAGACAGTAGACACAAAGGGGTTTATTTACTAAACCTGGTTGACTCAGAATCTTGTCCACTTCTGCATAAAAACCAATCAGCTTCCAGGTTTTATTGCTGAAGCTTAACTGAACATGCTGAGGTTAGAAGCTGATTGGCTACCATGCACAGGTGCCCAAGATTCTGAGTCAACCAGTTTTAGTAAATCTCCTATAGACTGTCCAGTAGTATTCCCTTGCTAGATCCCTGGGGGGACTGTGTTCTACACAAACTTTAAAGTCTTGCAGAGCCAGAAACCATCTTGCAACCATCTGAGCCATCCACTGTAATTGAGAATGGTCTGTAATCAATTGGAACTGCCTGCCTAAAAGGTTATACATCAATGACTCTAGTGAACACTTTATGGCCAGACACTGGCCAGACTAATCAATAGCTGATTAGTCTGCTGCAGGCTAGTGTTTGCCAATAAACTGTTTTACAAGCTTTTCCATTTTATTTAGCAATAGGTATCAGTCTCTTTAATGTGCTGCCCATATCTGAGCACCAAGTTGTAAGGGAGACAAACTCAACTGCTATTAGCAGCGGTATACCATAACCAAGAAAGGAACATCCAATACCAGTCCACACAAGTTTGTCCTGCACTTTTTCTCAGCAAGGCAGTAAACAAACACTGTTTCCATGCAGGAGGGCTTTGTTCAGCAAGTACATTATATTGCAGAAAACAAACAAAACATCTGCTTGTCCAAGCTGCTAATGAAACTCATGCCAGTTCGTGGCCACTGTAGGGCAAATTTGCTTAGATTCAATTTGCCATGGGTTTGGAGAATTTTGCTCAAAATCTGGTGAACCCAAAATTCTACAGAAGTCTATGGGGTGATGAATTTTGTTGTTAAATTCTGGTCATATCTCGGACTGACAGGCAAATTACTGTAAGGCATGGGAAGCTGGGAATTGCCGTGCGGGAAAATGCAAAAAGAAAAGAAATATTATACAGCTGTGAAAAGGTCCTTTTATGTGGCTTTGAGGGCAATATTGAAAATACACAAATCATATAAACAAGATGCTTGGTGAATGCCTTAAAACTGCAGATGGTATTATGGTAGTATGATTTTTAAGGATTGTCTCAACAGCAGCACCCCAATCTCATTAATTAAATTTTGAATAAAAGTCTTAAGCAGAAACACGTGTTTTTCAGTAAATGGTAATAAGCCTTCTTTGGCTGGCAGATAGATATTAGCCAGTAATTGGTGTGGATGTCCTTGTTCTTGCTGATGCAAAACTTTCCTGGCGCTTGACAATTTCTATCAAGCTCACAATAGGAATTAAGAGATCACCGATAATACAGCAGTATAAAATTATCAAGCAATGTTAGAATAAAAGAGTACAGGGGAGTGCTTTATTAAAAGCATGAAGAGACTGCAGATGACACAGCAGTGTAAAATTGCTTAGCAGCAGGACAATTTTGCAAGGCTAGGCCCAAATTCACTAAAGAAAAAGATCACAGATTGGGGCTTTGCTACAAGAAGTAAAGTGTTTCTTAAGCCAAAGGTTTTTACCTTAATGCATTCTCTACATTAAGATAAAAAAACCTTTGAATGTGCCCCCACCCCACCTCCACCTCCCTAACACTTACCTGAGTCCTGCATTGATCTGGTGTCGTGCCCAGCTGTAGGTCTTCTCTCCCTCTCTTCCTAGTCTCACAAGCTTTGCTGAGAACAGTGGAAGCCATTTGCTCCTGCTGCTGTCAGTCAAATCCAGTGGGCAGAGAGCACACACACAGCTCGGCTCTAGGGTGAGTCTCATGTCTTTCCTCATATCAAGAGCCAGCAGGTAGGAAGAGCAAACAGAGCCAGTGGGGGGCCACAGAAGCGGAGGTAAGGGAGCTTGTGTGCAATACCAATGCACAGAACTGGTAAGTTTATTATTTTAATTAAGAAAAGTTAAACTTTACATTCACTTTCAGATACTGTCGGGGACACAGCAGTGCAAAACAGGCTAGCAGCAATTTTAATCATGGATAATAGGCCACTGGTGTATGCCTAACATTTATTTTATTTATGGGGATAGGTTGGACTGGAGTGTTGAATGTGAAAATTATGTGAGGTGGTTTAGGAGCACATTGTTCTTGCACCTATTTTCTTTTCCTTTCAAACAATACAGCAGCTTGCTGCGAACAAAAGATAATTTAAAGAACAAATGAACACTAACAGACACTAATAAGTGAATTTTTTGCTTTGAAACTTAATAGAAGAATCAATATAACAGTAAAATCCCACAAAAGAAGGTAAAAACCCTGAATAACACACCCTGAAATGAAAGCCCACTTTTTATTTAAAGGAAAGAAGAAAAAGAAAGAAAAAAAAACTGTTTAACCTAGAATAAAGGTCTCATCAACATAACAAAAGAAATGAAAACCCCAAATTACCCCCTGAAACATTTTTTAAAGGGAAGCTTAGGAGCACAAAAATGCTATGTATGGGACAGCAGCTAATAGTGACTGCTGATCACAGACCTACAACAAAATAAAAGGAAAGACAAAAAAAAACAACAACAATATGAGAAAAAAAAAAGCAGCAAAGGGGTTGATTGCCCAGATAGCTATCTATCAGAATTAACATAGCTTCTTAATTCAATCTAATCTCTCTCTATGCAGTTTTTCAGCTGTTCCTATGTGTTACTTACAACAGCTTCCAATGCACTGGCACTATCATTATTCAATGCCCTGCCTTCATTATAGAAAGGGGGCTGGCTATTTCAAAATCTTCTTTATTAGCTATTTTAAGCCTGCTGGTCAAATTTGAAAGACCAGGCACTGGCAGTAGATTCTATTTTAAAAAGAATTTTCCTTGGTGAATCTGCATAAAATGTTGCTGAGATTGAAAACCTCTCAGGCTCAGACAACTCCTAAACCTAAACATAGGCATGGGATTAAATACGTTTTACTTGTAGCTGTTCTCAAAAATAATATCCTGGAGTTCTGCTTTAAATAAAAGTCCCTGCAAAGAATGACCTTAAAAAAAGTCTGGAAATACATAGTTACAAACTCAGTCTGGCTGAAAAAAGACAAAAGTCCATCCAGTTCAACCATTAAAAAAAAAAAGTTATAATCCTATACCCACACTTGATCCAGAGGAAGGCAAAAAAACCCCAGCAAAGCATGATCTAATTTGCTCCTGCAGGGGAAAAAAAATTCCTTCCTGATCCCCTGAGAGGCAATTGGATATTCTCTGGATCAACTTTACCTATAAATGATAGTATCCAGTTAGATTCTGTGTATCTAAGAAAAAATACAGACCTTTTTTAAAGCAATCCACTGAGCTGACCAGAATACATACCTTTCCTGTTGACCATGCTATGTAACACAGCTTTGATGAGGATAAATCATCCTACAGAGTTTGTTCAGAAACAAACACTGACAGGATTGTCGATCTATTTTGTCTACTACACCACTCGATGGTTCCACAAATTAGGTAAGATTTGCTAAAACTGAAGCACTCAAAATCTGGTACAGCTTTGCATGGTAGCCAATTAGCTTCAAACTTCAGCTTAATCAATTAAGCTTTGACAATAAAACCTAGAAGCTGATTGGTTTCTCTGCACAGCTGCACCAGAATTTGCACCATGTAGTTTAAGTAAATAACCCCCATTGTCTTCTTCATCACTACAAGACAAAGTAATGATGTAGAGCAGTGGTTCTCAGCCTTCCTAATGCCACGACCCATTAATACAATTTCTCATGTTGTGGTGACCCCCAACCATAAAATTATTTTTGTTGCTACTTCAAAACTGTAATTTTGCAGTGGGAGGAGTAGTGTCACATCATTGGTGTCAGTGGGAGGAGTAATGCCACATCACTAATGTCAGTGGGAGGAATAGTGTGCCATCGTTGGTATCAGTGGCAGGAATAGTGCCACATCGTTGGTGTCAGTGGGAGGAATTGTGCCCCATCATTAGTATCAGTGGGAGGAATAGTGCCCCATCATCAGTGTCAGTGTGGGAGGAATAGTGCCCCATCATTGGTGTCATTGGGGGGCATAGTGGCCCATCATTGATGTCAGTGTGTGGGGGGGAATAGTTCCCCATCATTGGTGTCAGTGGGGGGAGGAATAGTGCCCCATCGTTGGTCTCAGTGGGAGGGGGGGGAATAGTGTCCCATCATTGGTATTAGTGACACCAATAATATTTACCTTGCTGACCCCTGCTCCAGCCTGGGCTCGCTCCCTCCCTCTCCCATCTACAGCCAGCATACCTGGCTGCGGCAGCACCATCTGCACGGTACAGACACTTACCAGTCAGCTGTCTTCCTTCTCCGGCCGCTCTCCTCCTCTACACTCGCTCGGCTCCTCCTCTCCAAGCTCCACCTCCTCGCCGGTGATTGGCCGCCTGTGTGCCTCTGCTGAGCTACAGTTCCAGCGGCCAATCAAGGCGAGGAGGTGGAGCTGTTGAGTGATCCCTGGGGGTGTGGCCAGATGACAGGGGCTGCATGTCATCCAGCCTACACATCATGGTCCAGGGAAATGTGGGCGTATCTGCATGTGGGCGGACCCGCCTGGAGACAGATAGAGGAATGGTGTCTCAGTTCTTAAGACCATCGGAAATATGTGTTTTCCAATGATCTTAGGCGACCCCTGTGAAAGGGTCATTCTACCCCCAGAGGGGTCGTGACCCACAGGTTGAGAACCACTGATGTAGGCGCTGTGAAAAAAACCTATGAGCGCAATAGGCTACGCAGGCATTCAAAGTTCCTGGAAGTGCCAAATGCCTCTGCCAGAGGCTGTACCAATTAAAGCTGAATTCAGATTAACGCCCTGGCAGAGAGGTGGGTATTCAGTCTTCTCTTCTAACATTCTAAAAATCATTTACTGCTTGTTAGAAATATGTAAATATTTAAATGTGTATAGCCAGGCCACTTTTACCCTTTAAGTAGGAACTTTGCTTGTAGAGGCAACTTAAAAGCATCTGTGATTAAACAAACCTTGGCTTTTAACAAGAATAAAGAGGATGGTTAACAAATAGACCCTTTAGCTAAAAAAGTTAGTGCTACAAAATGTTTTTGGTATACTTTTATTTATCTGCACACCCATTGCTTATCTTTACCTACGTTGTAAATGGAAGCTGATTAAGAACCTTTCTTTCCTTGTACATATTATATATATCTGTAAAAGGCCAATATGCAATATAACAACTAAATTCAATAGTAAATCACAGATTAACTGAGCATAAGGTATCAGTAATTACCCCAAATTAGCATAAAGATGTTTGTGTATAATTGTGCTGATAGTACCCGTGTAGAACATTTGCATTCATTTAGTTAAACCATGACACCAATGAGGATGCTTTTGCATTTCAGACACGACTTTATTCATACCAAGGGAACAGAATTGACAGTTACAATCATACCGATTTTAAAGCTAGTTCACACAGAGCACAGTGAGTAATTCAAGTAAACTAACCAGAGCAGTGAAATTTAGAGTAATAATGAACAGCCAGTGAATTCTCTATTACAGCAAGGAGAACACTGATTATTTTAAAATGTAATTTAGTAATTAGAGACATTTACATGTTATTTGATTTACACACTAAGGGGTTGATTTACTAAAACCGGAGAGTGCAAAATCTGGTGCAGCTGTGCATGGTAGCCAATCAGCTTCTAACTTCAGCTTGTTCATTTAAGCTTTAAAAAAAAAAAAAATGGAAACTGGTTGGTTTTTATTCAGCGCCGCACCAGATTTTGCGCTCTCCAGTCTTAGCAAATCAACCCAAGAGTCTAATAAAACATAAGCTTACTCTGTTGAGAATAAGCTTTTTCATATGTATAGTCATCTTACGTCACCTTACATTTCAGAATTGGGCTCTGTTATTTATCATTATTATTATACAAGATTTATATAGCGCCAACAGTTTGTGCAGCACTTTACAACATGAGGGCAAACAGTACAGTTAAAATACAATTCAATACAGGGGGAATAAGAGGGCCCTGCTTGTTAGAGCTTACTATATAAAAGGGGAGGGTCAAGTGATACAAAGGGTAAAAACTGTGGGGGATGAGCTGATGGTGAAAATAAAAGTGTAGTTGTTAGGTGGAGGCAGGATGGGCTTCTCTGAAGAGAAACGTTTTCATAGATTGCCTAAAAATGGACAGAGTAGGAGATAGTCAGACAGATTGGTGTAGGGAATTCCATAGGATGGGAGAGGCTCAGGAAAAGTCCTGGAGGGGAGCATAGGAGGAGGTGACAAGGGAACTAGAGAGCAGGAGGTCTTGAGAGGAATGAAGAGAGCGATTTGGTTGGTATTTTGAGACTAGGTTAGTGATGTAGCTGGGGGCCAAATTGTGGATGACTTTGTAAATTGTTCTTAATATTTTTAATTGAATTTGTTGGGTGAGTGAAAGCCAGTGGAGGGATTTGCAGAGAGGGGTGGCAGACACTGAACGGTTGGCAAGGTGGATGAGCCTGGTAGCATCATTCATGATGGACTGGAGAGGGGATAGCCTATGTAAAGGTAAGCCAAAGAAGAGGGAGTTGCTGTAGTCAAGGTGAGAGATAACCTGGGAATTAGGAGCTTTATGGTGTCATTGGTTAGGAAGGAGCATATTTTGGAGATGTTGTGGAGGTTAAGATGGCAAGCTTTGGAAAGTGATTGGATGTGAGGTCAAAAGGAGAGTTAAGAGTTCAGGATTACACCTAGCATCCTGACATGTGGGGGGACGGGTTGATGGTTGTGTCATTCATCTTGACAAAGAAGTCAGGGAGAGACACGTGGGGAAGGAAATATTACGAGCTCAGTTTTGGATAGGTTGTTTTTGAGGAAGTGGTGTGATATCCAGACTAATATGTTGGTCAATAAGTTAGTGATGCGCGAGGAGACTGATATTGTGAACTGAGGGGTAAAGATATAGATTTGGATGTCATCAGCGTAGAAATGATATTGATTTGGGCTATCAGCTGACCCAGGGAGGAGGTGTAGATTGAAAATAGGAGAGATCCAAGAACAGAACCTTGGAGGACCCTGATGGAGAAAGGAAGAAGAAAGGAGGAAATAGAATTGTAAGTGACAATGAAGGTGTGGTGGGATAGGTAGGATGAGAACCAACAAAGAGCACAGTCACAGAGACCAAAGGAGTAAAGGTTTTGAGGAGGAGATGGTGGTCAACCAAATTAAAGGCAGCTGAAAGGTCCAGAAGTAGGAGCACAGAAAAGTGTCAATTGGTTTTAGCTGGTACTAAATCATTTAAGAGTTTTAGGAAAGTAGTTTCTGTGCAGTGTTGAGGGCGAAATCCAGACTGAAGGGGATCAAGGAGGTCATTTTTGATGAGGTGGTCACCCAGTTGGTTGTAGACCAGGCATTCAAGGAATTTGGAGGAAAGAAGATGGGGTGTAGGTTTTTAAGATTGGCAGGGTCCAGGAAAAGCTTTTTAAGTATAAGGGTGCCTAGTGCATGTTTTAGAGTTAGGGAAGATGCCAAAAGAGAGGGAGAGATTGAAGATGTGTGTTAGAGAGTGTAAGATAGAGATAGAGGGTGACCACAGTATTTGAGAGGGAATAGGGTCCAGGGGACAGGTGGCTAGGGGCATTAGAAAAACGTTTTAACAACCTCGTCTATAGTAGCAGGGTTGAATAGGGCAAGTGTTGAGTGTACCTGTGGACATGGAATGTTAAGTGTGGTTGAAATCTGTAGAGTGGAAATTTCATCACGAATTGTACCAATCTTATATTTGAAGTGATTGTCGATCTCCTAGGCAGTGAGTTAGTGGGTGGAGGTGGTGGAGGATGAATTAGAGAGTTAAAGGTAGAGAAGAGTTGACAGGGACTGTATGAGAAGGTGTTAATGAGAGTGATAAAATAGTTCTGCTTGGCAGTGTGGAGGCAAGAATTGTATTTTTGGAGGGCAGTTTTATATTGATTGAAGTCTTTTTGAGACTTAGGGGTTTATTTACTAAAGCTGGAGAGTGCAAAATCCGACTCACTTCTTCATAGAAACCAATCAGCTACCAGGTTATATTGCCAAATCTTAATTGAACAGGCTGAGGTTAGAAGCTGATTTTTTTCTATGCAGAAATGAGACTGATTTTATACTCTCCAGCTTTAGTAAATAAGCCCCTTAGTCTTATGCCACAGATGCTCAAGAGTGTGACTGTGTTTTTTTTGAGACTTCTGATGTCGTCTGTTTTCCAGGGCTGTATGGGGTCAGGGCCTGATTCTGTGTGTAGTAAGAGGGCAAGCTTGATGTAATGTTTGATGTGTAAGATGATTGTAGCCATATTGGTGCACAATACTGTACATGATACTTTTTTCATTTGTACTTTGCATTTGCATTTTTTTAGAACAAGCTTTCAATGCTTTATGCCTGCTACTAGGTCAAGGTCATTCTGATACTGCTGATCCTCTCTGTAGCAGTGCTGCCAAAGTTTCACTCCAGATACCCAATCATATTGATAAACTTTAATTCTAACAGTCACATCACAATAGCTTACACCTCAGTAATCAGGCTAAAAACAGGTTCAACAAATATTTCACTCCATTATTTTGGAGGTGTCTCTCCTACTTGTTGCACCACCCACACCCTGAGCTTGTGTAGTCAGCCATCCTGTTGACATCCAATAGCTAGAGCTCATTGTTAGGGCTTGTATACACTTTAATAATATGGTGCTATGAGCAGGAAAAATTCACATCAGTACAATAAACTAATAACTTTAAAAAATCTGGTTGCTATAGTTAGTGCTCTGCTGCTCTTTCTGCTTTTTTCCTATATAATTAATATTTTAGTTAACTGGTCGTTGGTGAAAAGTTCCCACTCTTTTATAGTAATTAATCAGTGCAGTCTTGCAGTCTACAGGCAATCAGGCAGCATTGTTTATTTTTTTTCTGTGCTTGTTTTCTTCTGTTTGTGGTTATTTGTTCTACAGGGACGATTTCTCAAGAGGTGCAGATAAACATATTTACAAGCTGTTGGATGCATACAGAATAAAGCTTTTGTCTGAAAACACTGGAGAAAATATGCAATAACCACGGTAAGGATTTTAAAAGGTTACTGATCCTTTTCAAACGTGACTGAGACTCTGACTGGCCATAGACAGGACAATTTTATTTCTGATCTGACAAACCTTCAACTAAACAAACACGGTGCAGATGATTGTAAACGTTAACAATGCTCACAATGTTAAAGTGGAACGTCTAACCCCCTTTTACCTTGACAGATGGGTTGAGCTGAAATAACACGCTCACCCTTCCAGAAAATCCAGTGTTTTCCCCTCTGTAACCTGCCGAAAGTCACCACATTCTGGGCCTCATGCCACCATCTTCTTTGTCACAGCTCCAACTCTCTTCCAGGTCCTAGCAGTCAACCTTCTAATGATGCTACTCATATTGTGCATATTATTATTATTATTATTATTATTTGCAGTGTGTTCAACACAGTCCTGAAGCATGATGGGATGCATAATATGGCTTTAGCAGGAGGCTCTGAGCAGGATGGAGGGCACATCATTTTTGCTTAGTTGTACTGTATATTCTATATTGTGTACATTTTAATCTTTTTATAAATAATTTTTATAAATAAAACTGTGTTTGCAGATGACAAAAAGCTATGTAGTGGAAAAAAGTGTACTTTT